CGGTCGGCCCTGGTGGAGGGGCAGGAAGAGGTCTGCCCTGGTGGAGGGGCAGATGAGGGCTGTGCAGTTTGAGTCGTTCTGATCCAGAGTAAAATCTCTGATGGGATTAGATCAGAATTCAGGAGATGAAGAAAGACCACAGACACCCCCCCCCCCGACGCCCTGGTGTAGATGTGTAGATCAGTGGGCAGGATTAAGGGCAGATGGAGACACAGGAAGCTGAAGACAGCTCAGGTGTGACATCATCATCATCATCATCATCATCATCACTTTGTGTTTGTGCGTCTGTGCTCCTGTCACGGAGCTGGCACGTGTCTTCGTGAGCGCTGCCTCATGCCCTGACTCCCCCCCCCCATCACTGAGGTCTGGACCCTCAGAGGGTTTGTTACATAATTCAGTCCAGAATCATCTTCCGTCATCTCTGCTTCCACAGGGGGGCGCCACAGGACGGAGGTGGATGTTTGGGGGCTTTGTGCTAATGAAACCATGTTACTAATCAAACTAATTGATTGATTGAAACTAATCAAACAGAATGTTCTGGATTATTCTGAACTGGGCAGATCTGGGTCACGGGGGAGTCAGGGGTTAAATCCAGTCATGTGACCAGTCATGTGACCAGTCATGTGACCACACTGTAGGTAATTATTGTGCTGTAGGCTTTGTCAACAGTTGCCCCCACCCCCACCCCCACCCCCGTCAACCTACAGCCTAACGAGGGTTAATCTGATGTTGTCGTCTGTAACATTTAGTTTTCAGCTGTTGAAAAACAGATGTTTTCACTGGGTGAATGTCGACCAATCAGTGATGAGCACATGAAGAACACATGACCACGTGACATCAGCGGCTGATGTCATGTGTCTGTGACGGTCATGTGACTCTGGACATCATGTGCTGTAGGAATGAACCCTGAGCTGTGAAGTCCAGTGAAGTTAGGACGGTGCCCATGGTACCAGGTACCATGGTACCATGGACACCGTGGTACCATGGTACCATGGTACCATGGTACCAGGTGTGCTGGGGTAGGAGACCAGCACCTGAGTACCACTTCAGTCCAGTGTATCTGATGACAACAGGTGACGTTGACGTCACTGTTAGTGACCCACATTACAGTATATGTGACATACTCTGTCCACCAGGTGGTGCTGTGGCGCTGTGAACCGGTCAAAATATCAGGATTTTCTCCAAGATTCTAGATCAGACTAAAAATTCAAACTAAAAAACGGACTTTCACTTCCTTCTAGACTACAGGTGGCGCTGTCAAGACCTTTGCCTATATATAATGGAAGCATCACAAAAACAAGAAGCTGAAAAAAAAGTTTTCTTTTAATTTGATTTAAACTTCACCACGAAGGGTTAATAAATGATTCTACTGTGATTAATGTGTGAACAAGTAGCTGACGTGTACTAGGAATTATTACCCTCGGAGCAAACAGGTCATTAGGGGGCGCTAATTCAATAGATGAACTGCCGGCGTGTCCTCAGCTGCTCCAGCAGGTTATATAACCAGGTGGAGGCCGAGGCCGGGGTGGAAACAGTACCAGTAACACCGAGGGAGGAGGGGGGGGGAGTTAGAGTGAGTGAGTGAAGGAAGGGAGGAAGTAGGTCAGCGTGTTTTTGTTGACTTCATGTCAGCGTGGTCACAGACGAGGAGATGTTCCTGCTCCCAAAACTTCACCAGAACAAGAGGGAGGCTGGATTAGAGCGAAGAAGGGAGGAGAGAGAGGAGGAGGAGGAGGAGGAGGAGGAGGGGAGACGGGGGGGGCGGGAGGGTGAGGAGGATAAAGACAGTAGCCCTTCCTCCCAGCAGCCAGACTGAGACAGAGTCTCCGGGACCTCAGCTGATCTCAGACCCTCTGCTTCGCTCTTCACTCCTCGCTGGTCGACTGTGAACAACAGTCGTTCATCAGGACTTTCTGAGCGGCGGCCATGTTTTAGAGAGCGTCTGCTGCGGGATTAGAGGAAAGCCGCTGCTGACCAGAGATCAGCCGGTGTTGGAGTGGACCAGTCGCTGTGATCAGGTCTGAATGAGACACGTGCACTGACCCGACTCCACCACACGGAGGTTCTGTGTTCTCCTCCTGTTAGTCCTCAGGGAAGGAGCACCATGCATATTTTACAGCCGTACTACATCAACAGGTCGGTGTGTGTGTGTGTGTGTGTGTGTGTTTTCTGCTGGTCTTCTCTGATGTTTTGAATTAAATTAACAGGAAATGGTGTGTTTTTTACCCATGATTCTTCAGGATTTGACTTCACCCTAAACTGTGGATCTTTGTGTTGATACAGTTCTTCACAGTAGAAGCTGCTCCTGGGTGTTCATGGTGGTGGTGGTGGTGGTGGTGGGGGGGGGTGATGTCTGTTGTATTTTGAGAACTACATTTTATGTCAAATGTAAATCTGTTTTTTTCTCATCTGACCAACAGGGGGCAGATGTAAAACCAAATGTCTGAGTTTATTTATTTGTGGATCTTCTCCAGGTCATAAGGTCAAACTGGACTGCCCTCAGGTTGAAGATGTTTCTCCTCTCACCTTCATCAGTTTCCAGGTCTTTATCCATGCGGTCATGTGAGTGGTTGGCCCTGCGGTGGCTCCTCCCCCTCCCCGTCCTCTGGGTGGGGGGGTAACTCCAACGACCCCACATGACCAGGACAGTAGGAGGATGAGAAACGTCTAGAACCTGAGCTGAGTCCAGGCTGAAAGCACTGGAAAACTGGAAAACTGGAAAACTGCTCACTTTATTCAATTATCTCTGTCTCTCTCCATCATCCCCCCCCTCTCCCAGTGTTCGGTGAAGAGCATGTCTGGTAAGATCTTCACCTCAGACTCAAACCAGGGAATAGAGTTCAGAGCAGGTTGTTCTTTGGTCGTGTTCCGTCTCCTGATGAGTTTGGAGGATTTGTTCAGTCGAGTCCATTTGTCTGCAGCGCCCCCCCCCCCCCCCCCCCCCCCCCCCAGGTGACCACCAGGGGGCCACCAGGTGGCTCATCCTGAAAGACTAGCAGCCATCAGGACACACACACACACACACACACTCAGAACACCAGACAGTGACCCAGGGTCACAGATGTTTTTCCAGTCAAATTTTGAACCAGTGAAAAATGAGAAATATTTTTATTACAAATTAAAGTCATCGACTCAAAGACGCTCAGATTAGAACCTGTTCTGGATCATAGACGTGGGGTTCACAGGAGACTCATTACACTCCCTCATCTCCTCATTCACTTATTTATAACAAACCACTTCCTGTCCTGCACCGTCTTCGCTCGCCCTGGTTGTTCACCTGTCTCTCATTCCGTCCCTGTCTGTCCTCCTCGACCTCCTCGACCTCCTCGACCTCCTCGACCTCCTCGACCTCCTCGACCTCCTCGACCTCCTCGACCTCCTCCTCTCCTATAGCTCTTAGCATCTCTGTTCCAGGGTACATCCCCAGCTACCTGGAGAAGGACGAGCCGTGTGTGGTGTGTGGGGACAAGGCCACGGGCTACCACTACCGCTGCATCACCTGTGAGGGCTGCAAGGTTAGCCACGCCCACCGCCCACGCACCGCACGCCACACGGTGTCACACAGACGCCAGACTTCAATGTACTTTATAATGGTTGTTCTGTAGCGTAGCGGTTAGCGGAGAACAGTAGTCCATACTTGGCGCCTCCTACTGGGCAGTCTGTCACAGCAGAACACAAGAGTTCAAATAATAATAATAATAATAATTATTATAATTATAATTAGTCATGAGTAGAGCAGCTCCCCTGGGGGGCAGGTCAGTGGTGGTGGTGGTGGGGGGGGGGTTCACACTGACGTGGCAGGAAGTGCCTTCACGGCAGCAGGGACTGATTATCTGATGGTTGGCGTCCAAACACGGCGTCTCTCCCCAGGAGACGAGGTTTCCTGACGGTCGTCACAGATCAGTCGTGTCGTGTTTCCACGTTCACGTCGTGATATTTTAGCTTCTTTAAACGTCAGCGTACGTGACCTTTCTTCGTTTGATTTTTGGTCCTCAGGGATTCTTCCGCAGAACCATCCAGAAGAACCTCCACCCGTCCTACTCCTGTAAATACGAAGGCTGCTGCATCATCGACAAGATCACCCGCAACCAGTGTCAGCTGTGCCGCTTCAAGAAGTGCATCTCTGTGGGCATGGCCATGGACCGTGAGTCACCGCTTCACCGCCGCGATGTCGACTTTGTCAAACGTGTCTAAAAAAACTCACTACATCGTCGCACCTGTAGTATCGCAATGTACCGAAATATATTGTATCGTGATATGTATCGTATCTGGCCAGGTTCAGATAGTTAACTGGTTGAGGTGGTTAACTGGTTGAGGTGGTTAACTGGTTTATTGGGCTAACCATCGGCTCGTCTTCTCTCCGTCAGTGGTGCTGGACGAGACGAAGCGAGTGGCCAAACGGCGCCTCATTGAGTCCAACAGAGAGAAGAGGAAGAAGGAGGAAATCGTCCGGACTCTGAAGACCAGGCCGGAGCCCGACACGGCAGAGTGGGAGTTGATCCGGTTGGCGACGGAGGCTCACCGGAACACCAACGCCCAGGGATCCAGCTGGAAACAGAAACGCAAATTCATGGTACGTTTTTATCTGTTTGACTTTTTCACTTGTCCTGCAGGGGGAGTTGTTTCAGGAGGAAATCCTCGGAGTTTTCTCCTCCTTTAATGAACGACTTGTGAAACCTGCCAGGTTGACGTTGGTCGTTCGTTTGACTGGAACGTTCCGTCTTTCATGTGTCTCATTATTTTTTGGGTTTCGTTCTGCCCAGAACTTCAAAGGTGACGATGTAACGGGAAAAAAACCAAAAAACTTTTAATTTCCAAGAAGAAAAGTTTTGTTGTTGAAACAGTGACATCACAGAAACAAAGGCTTTAACGAGGCTTCATTAACACAGGTCGTTACAACAGGTTGGATTTACCCCAGTATTCTGGGGTACTTAGTTAATGTGAATATGAGTGTGAACGAGTGTGAACGAGTGTGAACGTCCTCCATGTGACCCAGTAGATGAATGAAGTTCTACTTCCTGTTCGTCCTCAGCCTGATGATATCGGCCAGGGTCCGATGGCGCCCACCTCCGACGGAGACAAAGTGGACCTGGAAGCCTTCAGCGAGTTCACGAAGATCATGACGCCTGCCATCACGCGCGTGGTCGACTTTGCCAAGAAGCTGCCGATGTTCTCGGAGGTGAGCGTTCGGGACAGGACGAACAAGGTCATTATTTAATATCCTTTCATTGACTCCTGGTGGCGCTGTGTTTCCTCAGCTGCCGTGTGAAGACCAGATCATCCTCCTGAAGGGCTGCTGCATGGAGATCATGTCGCTGCGCGCCGCCGTACGCTACGACCCAGACAGCGAGACGCTGACGCTGAGCGGCGAGATGGCGGTTAAACGTGAGCAGCTGAAGAACGGCGGGCTGGGAGTGGTGTCGGACGCCATCTTTGATTTGGGCAAGAGTCTGGCTCAGTTTAATCTGGATGACACGGAGGTGGCGCTGTTGCAGGCGGTGCTTCTCATGAGCTCAGGTAAGAGCCTTCTGGAATTCTTTGACCTCCGTTTTGGACCGCAGTTTTTAAAATGACGAGAAACGTTGGGTGCTGTAGACCAGGGATTGAACCACGCAGCGTGAATTCACGTCGGTTAAAAAAAACTCCAACCGTCCATAAACCCGTGGAGCCGATGATGGAGACGATTTGCAGAAACGCAGCCCACATTTCTTTCTCTCCTCATGTCCCACCTAGACCGCTGCGGGCTGACCAGCGTGGAGAAGATCGAGCAGTGCCAGGAAGCCTACCTGCTGGCCTTCGAGCACTACATCAACTACCGCAAGCACAACATCCGACACTTCTGGCCCAAACTCCTGATGAAGGTGACCGACCTGCGCATGATCGGGGCGTGTCACGCCAGCCGCTTCCTCCACATGAAGGTGGAGTGTCCCAGTGAACTGTTTCCCCCGCCCTTCCTTGAGGGCTTCGAGCACCAGCAGGCGTGAACACCCACCAAACCACCACACACACACACACACAGGAAGAGGAGGCGTGGTTCAAAAGGAGAACGAAAAAAACTGGATTTTTCTTCAGTGAGTCCTCCACTGTGGTTTTTTTATAAATCTACAAACTCACCTCCTGCCACCAGCAAAACCTAAACAGGGAAACCAGGAAAACCAGGAAACAGGAAACAGGAAACAGGAAACAGGAAACACTGACCACCAGTCTGGATCTGCTGCGTCTCTGAGAGAAAGTCAAAACAAAGTTCCAAAAAATCCAAACGTAGTGCCATAAAAGTTCAGAACATCTTTATGCAACACAGTGGTTCACACACACACACACACACACACACACACACACTCTGGGACTCGACAGACTCAGTCGTCCAGACCCTGAGTGTCTGTCAACCTACCCCCCCCCACGTACTGACCTCTCTCTCTCTCTGTCTCAGCCACACACACACACACACACACACACACACACACACACACACTTTTTACCTCATATTTTTTTAATGTTTTTTGTATTTTTTTATTTTAGGAACTGTTTCTCAGTCACACACACACATGATCACAGTGTGTGTGTGTGTGTGTGTGTGTGTGTGAAACTCACGGCCGTCGTTGATGAGAAACGATGACTCATTCATCACTGACGTAATTCCCAGCATGCAGCTGTGTGTTGATGACATCATCAGAAATATTATCAGTTCAGAATTGGATCAATAAAAATCACAGGAAAAATGACATAAAAGATCAAACAACAACAACAACCACAACAACAACAACCACAACAACAACAACAGCAACAACAACCACAACCACAACAACCACAACAACCACAACAACAACAACAACAACCACAACAACAACAACCACAACAACAACAACCACAACAACAACAACCACAACAACAACAACAGCAACAACAACCACAACCACAACAACCACAACAACAACAACTGAACTAAGAAACTATTTCAAAGCTTAAACAAATGAATTCCAGTTTTTGTGCTGGTCCAACAGTTCTACCTCTGGTACTGTTTAGAACTGGAACCATCAGTGCAGGGACGGCTCTACTCCCCCCTGTTCTCCCCCCTGTCCTCCCCCTGTTCTCCCCCCTGTCCTCCCCCTGTTCTCCCCCCTGTCCTCCCCCTGTTCTCCCCCCTGTCCTCCCCCTGTTCTCCCCCCTGTCCTCCCCCTGTTCTCCCCCCTGTCCTCCCCCTGTTCTCCCCCCTGTCCTCCCCCCTGTTCTCCCCCTGTTCTCCCCCTGTTCTCCCCCTGTTCTCCCCCCTGTCCTCCCCCTGTTCTCCCCCCTGTCCTCCCCCCTGTTCTCCCCCCTGTCCTCCCCCCTGTTCTCCCCCCTGTCCTCCCCCCTGTTCTCCCCCCTGTCCTCCCCCTGTTCTCCCCCCTGTCCTCCCCCTGTTCTCCCCCCTGTCCTCCCCCTGTTCTCCCCCCTGTCCTCCCCCTGTTCTCCCCCCTGTCCTCCCCCCTGTTCTCCCCCCTGTCCTCCCCCTGTTCTCCCCCCTGTCCTCCCCCCTGTTCTCCCCCTGTTCTCCCCCCTGTCCTCCCCCCTGTTCTCCCCCTGAACTCAGAAAAACTAAAATGTATCAAATTTACAAACTTTTTACCATAAAACAAAACAAAAACGTAGAATTTAAAATGACTAACGTAGAGAGTGATAAGAAAATACTGTAGTATTGTAGTACTACTTCTAGAATACCTCTCCAACACATACCTCTTACTTTAATTACCTCACTCACACTCATCTTTTTTTTTTAAATCTATTACCTCAGTTTTTTGTTTGTTTTTTTTCTTGCTCCACGTCAGTAACCACTGGACTCACTTCCTGTTTCTCTGGCGCCCTCTACTGCTAAACACACTGTAAGTCCCGCCTCCTCACTGTGATGTTAAAGGTGGTGGTGGGAGGTGATGTCACGTCCTCCTTCAGTCCCACCACCCCCCTCCCTCACCCCTCCCTCACCCCCTCCCTCCCCCCTGCCTGAAACTGACAGATTCTACCTCGCCCCTCGTCTGTCGTCTCAGTGCATGAACACACACACACACACACACGTACACACACAGTGCACAGGAGGACAAGGACGCCGATGACATCACGCAGCCGGTCGTTCTAAGGCGGCGTGGATCAGGAGCCGATCTTTTAGTCCAGGTTTTATTCCTACCGTGAAACGAGCCTCAAAGTGGATCCAGTTTTCATTCAGGTATCTTTCGTGACAACTAGAGGGCGGTGGTGAGTTTGTGTTGCCGCACGGACCTTGTTGTTTGGGCCCAGTTGTGGGTCGGACCATGGACCATGGGTCGGTCCATGTGACTCAGGCCAGCCAATAACAAACCACCACTGAAAAGGACCCTTATTCCTGCAGCGTCATCATCTTCAGA